CGGGGACTGCGCCTACCTGATGAGCTCCAAGAAGGGCGAAACCGGTCGTGGGCTGTCGATGGATTTTCAGCAACCTTATGAGCAGTACATTACAAATATACATGTATCGCGATACTTCAACTATCTTAGCCACTGAAACATGAGGCGGCCTAGTGCAGCACATTCAGTTGCCTGAGAACAGCATAAACGAGGGATTCAGCTGGTTTCCAGATGAGTCTCTCGAAAGAACCAAATTAGTTTGCAGATGAGTGTATATTCGCTTACTTGTGTCAAGTTACTCATTAATGCGCAATATATTCAAGGTGTAACACAGAACTATGGAATGATTAAAGAGCATACGCAATATTCTGGGTCTAATTAGGGGTGGGAGTGATGGGGTGATGAGCATCACTAGAATTATCATGAAACAAACCTGATATTGCTGCACCCCAAACAAATACATTTTGGAGCTCCGCCAGACCAGTCCCCCCTCTCTCTCCTAAAATGGTAGGATCGATCCTGTAGTTTCTTCCACCGTGTCCTTGTTTCGAAGGGCTTATTTTCATAGAATTGATGGGAAACAAAGTTTTTTTACAATCCTCCTCTTCTTGTATGTAGGTTCTTTTGAAAAATATCGTTAACGCTAGCCGGTGCGTGGCTAACCTTGAATACTGCACTTTGCATAACTCCAGTTGAAACACATGAGTTCTGGAGTGCCTGCTATGCAGTTGTTGGCCCGTAGCATTTCCACAGCCACTAAGCTTGATAACTGGCAGATCTTGCTGACTTCGGGTTGGACTGGTGTTTCACGGGACACGGGTATTGTTTATTTCAGAACTCTTTTCCTTTGTAGGAGTGGCCTTTCAATTTGGTGTGGTCTCCGGGGCGTTTTGACAGCATGGATTGGGGAGAGTCCATCGGTCCAACAAGAAACATGTGTAGATTCATATTTTTTGTAAATTACATAGCCAGTACACCATTCTGACCATATTAGTGCCTGGTAGAGAAAGTATGTCTAAGTTATACCCTGATCCAATGTGTTTTGTCACTCATGAATTAAATTCTAAGTGATCAGCAAACTGTTATTTGGTAAAAGTCGACATCAGTCGAAGCCAGCTAATCTCGGAGTACTTTGCATTGAGTTTGCAGTCAGAGATGGCAAACCAGAATTCCGGTGAGCTAATCCACTGAGCAACATCAGGTTCTCCGATCTCACCTGTATAGTTTACATATTCGCATGAGGCGTACAGCTCCGCGAATGAGATCCGACACTCTAGTAGTTGGCACTTCAAGGCCGTCCTTCAGCAACAACTCACATGTTCTCGAAGGGGACTGCTCTGTTCACCATGTTTCACAAGTGTAGGAATGCAAAAACGCCCCCAATCTGTTCTCTTGGGTGGATTTCCGGTTTTTGACCCCGAGCGTACTTCTACGAACCATCGTAAAGTGTTGTTCCCCTTGGGTGTGATTTCATAACCTTTGTGATGATAACGACCCAAGTTTGTTGTTTCGTCCGGTATTATCGTGAGAATTCCATGAACCAAGCAGCTACTGGAACCGCTGACGCCCTGGGGAACCATCCAGTCAAAGGCTTCGTGAAATTCACCATAAAAATGGGTACCTTAGGTTGGGCATATTCCAGTGGTATGCGAATTATCGTGTGCTTTGCAACAATAAATTCCTATATCGTGTTCCTCTGAAGTTGATACATATCTCTCTCTCCACTCAGGGTCGAAATACGCGGTGCTGCCACTATTTTGGACGTAACGTTCGTCGCGCGTTCATTGGCTGATGAGGAGGATACATGGGCGCACACAATCAATCAACTGACCGCTGAACTCCGCCAGTGTCACCGACAAGCAGAAAGCCTCAGTGGTCGGTTGACTCGTACCAGCAAGCAACGCCTGGTTCTTGATACGTTTGCCGACAATCTCATACGAAAGGACGAAGAGAACGCCACGGGAGGCAGTGTAACAGCACCAAGCCCTTTAACCAATCACGTAGGCGGAACTGCTCCAGCCCCTCCGATCCACGGATCTACCTCACCCCTTCTTGCTGGGGAACACAAGGGATCCTTAGAAGTAAGACTTTGCATCATTTATTGATTTTTATCCATGATTTTCACCCGTAATCAATAACTGGAGTCTGTGTGCTCTACGGTTTCAATCTCACTACAGGAAGCTAGCTCAGATATCTAGTCCTTAATCGATCCAACTTTCGTGAGCGAATATGGTTTGTGAAATCGGTCACGAGCTGGTTGTGACGTCCTCGTTCACGTACGGTTTAAATACGATAGTTTTGGCCCATTACAGTTATTGTGTAGAGAAAACTAACCATGTTGGAGTGTACTCTCGAAGTTGTTTGGTTATGACAGCTGTCAATGATTGGAAATTGGAAACAGTAAAATTTGGAACTTTTATTTACCCGTTGGGCTTATGAGACAAAGTGAGATTCACAATTTTTTGATAACGCTCCACTAGCTCATGGTGACATAACAGTCAGTAGGGAAGAATTGAGACTACCAAGGTTTTCTCTGCAGCTATGCAAGGGTATTGAGTGTTTTTCGTACTCACGTACGAGCTGCAAGATGTTAGCCACGGGAACTGGTTTGCCTATCAATGGCAGAATATGCCCTGCGAGGTAACTCAGTGGTTGAGGGGTGAAGCTCCAGTGCCTGGTAGAGAAAGTATGTCTAAGTTATACCCTGATCCAATGTGTTTTGTCACTCATGAATTAAATTCTAAGTGATCAGCAAACTGTTATTTGGTAAAAGTCGACATCAGTCGAAGCCAGCTAATCTCGGAGTACTTTGCATTGAGTTTGCAGTCAGAGATGGCAAACCAGAATTCCGGTGAGCTAATCCACTGAGCAACATCAGGTTCTCCGATCTCACCTGTATAGTTTACATATTCGCATGAGGCGTACAGCTCCGCGAATGAGATCCGACACTCTAGTAGTTGGCACTTCAAGGCCGTCCTTCAGCAACAACTCACATGTTCTCGAAGGGGACTGCTCTGTTCACCATGTTTCACAAGTGTAGGAATGCAAAAACGCCCCCAATCTGTTCTCTTGGGTGGATTTCCGGTTTTTGACCCCGAGCGTACTTCTACGAACCATCGTAAAGTGTTGTTCCCCTTGGGTGTGATTTCATAACCTTTGTGATGATAACGACCCAAGTTTGTTGTTTCGTCCGGTATTATCGTGAGAATTCCATGAACCAAGCAGCTACTGGAACCGCTGACGCCCTGGGGAACCATCCAGTCAAAGGCTTCGTGAAATTCACCATAAAAATGGGTACCTTAGGTTGGGCATATTCCAGTGGTATGCGAATTATCGTGTGCTTTGCAACAATAAATTCCTATATCGTGTTCCTCTGAAGTTGATACATATCTCTCTCTCCACTCAGGGTCGAAATACGCGGTGCTGCCACTATTTTGGACGTAACGTTCGTCGCGCGTTCATTGGCTGATGAGGAGGATACATGGGCGCACACAATCAATCAACTGACCGCTGAACTCCGCCAGTGTCACCGACAAGCAGAAAGCCTCAGTGGTCGGTTGACTCGTACCAGCAAGCAACGCCTGGTTCTTGATACGTTTGCCGACAATCTCATACGAAAGGACGAAGAGAACGCCACGGGAGGCAGTGTAACAGCACCAAGCCCTTTAACCAATCACGTAGGCGGAACTGCTCCAGCCCCTCCGATCCACGGATCTACCTCACCCCTTCTTGCTGGGGAACACAAGGGATCCTTAGAAGTAAGACTTTGCATCATTTATTGATTTTTATCCATGATTTTCACCCGTAATCAATAACTGGAGTCTGTGTGCTCTACGGTTTCAATCTCACTACAGGAAGCTAGCTCAGATATCTAGTCCTTAATCGATCCAACTTTCGTGAGCGAATATGGTTTGTGAAATCGGTCACGAGCTGGTTGTGACGTCCTCGTTCACGTACGGTTTAAATACGATAGTTTTGGCCCATTACAGTTATTGTGTAGAGAAAACTAACCATGTTGGAGTGTACTCTCGAAGTTGTTTGGTTATGACAGCTGTCAATGATTGGAAATTGGAAACAGTAAAATTTGGAACTTTTATTTACCCGTTGGGCTTATGAGACAAAGTGAGATTCACAATTTTTTGATAACGCTCCACTAGCTCATGGTGACATAACAGTCAGTAGGGAGAATTGAGACTAACCAAGGTTTTCTCTGCAGCTATGCAAGGGTATTGAGTGTTTTTCGTACTCACGTACGAGCTGCAAGATGTTAGCCACGGGAACTGGTTTGCCTATCAATGGCAGAATATGCCCTGCGAGGTAACTCAGTGGTTGAGGGGTGAAGCTCCGTGGTTCGGACCTGACCTCTGCATCTCGACTGCCCCTAGCAGTAGCTCAGCCCTCAGTCTCGCTTATGATAGCATGACAGCTAGGCACCGAAAAGGTGTTATCTCGCTGAAAAACCGCAACCAAGGCAACAGTCTGGGAATCGGTCTTTTTCGTTGGACTTTCAGCAAGTCTTGGTCGTTGTACATTCTTGGTAAGGAAACCCTCCTGGTTACTCGTCTCCCATATGACTTGATCTGCTAGCTAAACCCCCAGTGTTATTTTGTGATGAAATCAGATAGATACACTAGAAGTGTTCGGACGTGTCACTTACGACACGTCCGTTATGTCTAGATAGTGTGTCGCAAATAGGATCTAACACGCATGGATTTGACGTATGAAGCACTCTACAATTATGGACGGTTGATTATGCCGTTGGGATTTTGCCCTTCTGTCAAACTTGGCTAGTCCCGGTAGGGCTGGATGATCTAGACGGAGCAGAGTGGTTCGTTGGTTTATGTGATTTTCCGAACCATCAATTTATCTATTTTAGACTATGGACTTCTTTTATGTGCCCCTGAGATGGCAGTATTAGACAGGGCAATGTGGTTTGCGCCACTAGTGCCTGTCTTACTGAAAACCCTGTCGCGCGTGTATGATGGAGCTAACCATGGTTCGCCTTCCGTTCGTCGGTTGAAGCGTGATGTTTACAGGCTTCAGTCCACCGGGACTACAATTTGGTTCGTTACTGATCAATCTCAGAACCAAGAGGTAACCTTACCGCACGTGTTGAGTGACTTCTAGAAACAGAAATTGAAAATTTCAGGTAGACTCAATCGGAACATTCTTAACACGGCAACAGAACGTCCCACAGTTGCTCTCTACACATGGCAGGCTTTATCAAACAGCAGAACTCGGCCACGGTGGAGGCAAAGTGCTCCACTGGGTGTTTACTGCTGACAGTTTGTCTCAATATGGAGTTTACTACTACGGAATAAAAGGTGTAGATGAAAAGTTCAGTCTTCCTCGAGATTGGCGCATGCTGTCAAATAGTTGGATGATCGTTCTGTGAATTTGGGAATAGGAACAATAGCACGATCATTTTGATGGTAACAATCAACTGACGTTGAACATGGGCAAGCTAAAATTGGATAGATTTCTTAGTCTGAATAGGGTGAACCCCTTGAGTACGTATGTCACAGCAGACTAGTCTATATGGTTACTCCTATCTCACTCAAAAAGCTTGCCCATTGCTGAGGTTGCTTCCTCAGTGTTTCCCGCCTAGCTGGGTTCGTGGCTTGCAAAGCGACATCGTTGGCTCATTTCACTTTGGCTGTACATGTGTTGTTTCCCCTTTATCTCCTGAAAGCGTTATCCGTAGTGGAAAAACGTCGAGGATAGGAGGCAGTCTTGCCGTACTTCGGTGTGTGGATAAAGGCCTCAAGTCTCCTTCATGTGCTCGGACTCGAGCTTTTGTTCAGTAGGTCCGACAAGACTAGATGCAGCTATGTCATGGGGTATTGCAACCAACTAATTGGAAGGCTACGCGGTAGTTTACTAGTTGTGTGAACTTCAGGCGAAGTCTGACACAATGTGCGCTCGAGTTGTGGTCATTTTTGACTTGCAGTTTTGGGTGGAAACTGCTGGTCAGGTAAACGTTTTATTGCTAACCCTATGTTCTAATCAGAAGCCTTGGCTGGATTTAATTGCGGTCAGCAGTGTACACCATCATTAATATGCCATCAACTATTCGAGAGTAGGTTTAACTTTGCCCGAGCCGGCGTATTTGGTTTGACCCTCTTCTTTTGCTGGCATCAGCCCCGTCGTAAGACCGATCGTTTTCAAAAGAAAATGTTTCACGTGAGTGGACAAGTTGTTTAGTCTGGTTGGCTCTCTTCATCACGTGAAAGTATGTTTCCTTTAGTGTTTAGTGGGGAGTTTGAAAACGCACAACCATCTTGGAGCTGAAAATTGATTAGTCATACACCATCTTCGCAACGCACAGCGAAACCGAATTAACTATTCCGATGGACAAGTAGAAGCACCTCCGTTCCCAGCTGTTACTAGGATAACGTATATGGGAAGGCGGTTGACAGCATTTTTTAGCTGCTCACTAGATGTTCTTTTGAGTCGTACATCGACAAAGTTTGAGCATATATGAAGTTCACTTTGGTGCAGAAGTAGTGTCCTCCGAAGCGAACGAAGATGCTCATTGATGGTGTGTAGGGGTTCTTATTGGCCTCTTGGTCCGAGCTAAATGCGGTTTCAGACTGAACAGAGCTGTACTCCGATTCATTGTAGTAAGCCAGTAAGAGGATTTTATGACATGGGCGTTGATGCTCTTAGATCTAAGGATAAGTACGCGGACATCGAAGACAACGAAGTATTTGTGAACAGTCTGTATGGTAATAGACTGGCCGATAACGTATTGAGAGTTTTTACATCCCAGCAACTATTGCTTTACGCTATTTGCAGGTCCAGCTTACAGACTGAACATCTCAAGCACTGAAACTACTGCCTACCTTGGACATTTTAGCAACAGGAGAACGGTTGTTGTGAGACTTGTTCGCATTCAAGGGGTTCGATGCGAATGATACTTTAAACATGATGGGTTGATCAGGCCTCCGATGAACCAGTCCGATAACGGTGTCGTGGTATCAAAACTGGCTGCGCGCATCCGATGACGCCGACTCAAATGGCTTGAGCATATACTCCAAAAATTGGACGATGGTCTTGTGATTAAGGTTCCAAACTCAAGCCCATATTTGAGTTGTCTTCGTCGAGGGATGCAGACCGTCTTTGTCCCTGGTCTATCTACGATATCCGAAATCTAAAATAAGTCGTGAGAATCCATTTTGCACACACTAACGTGGATTATGGGCAGTGTGTGATTTTTCCGTTGCCGGCTTACCCCCCAACAGGAATCGGCCTCCAAAAAGTAAGCGAAAGTAGAGTGAAAAACCGTGCAACCCTGCATGGTTGCGATCGTACCTGGAGGTAAGCCCACGGAAGGATGGACACCTAGGGTGCACCAGAAAGTCTCATGACAAGTAGGACGCTATTTTTAGACAACTGTTAAGATTGCGGTATGACGATATCCGTTCACAGCTTCCTCATAGAGACGCACCATCATACAAAATATGAAGAGAAAATTTGTCTTTCGGATATCGAATTCTTCATCGTGAGCAATTGTGGCTACGACCCATAGGTCTGGGGGATGTTTAACGCTGTGGTTGAGGATGATACATCTGACTCTGAGAAATCCGGGATGAGTGACTTTTTCAACACCGATCGACAAACATCACCATCAGCGCAACAAGAAGTGCTGCGCATTTAAATGGTTCATTTTCTCCCAGAAAAATACGAAAAAGATCGTCATATCGTCCTGTATGAATTCCACCGCCCTGAGTCTTGTGGTTCTTTTCAAAGGTAAACTTTCAACATGATTTTGCCAGAACTAAAACGAGTACGTGGTCCATAAACCCAATGTGACTATATTACTTGTTCTTTGCAAAGATATACTTTATCCAAAAACTATGCGTGATACTGATTAACTTTTGTACTGTTTCGATGGTTATCTCCACTGGATCGTGACGAAAAAATATACTGAAAACTGTCTCACTGTGGGTTTTCTTTTTCTAACTTTCACTGGGTTTTCCGCTCACACCAGTGGTAATCGCCTGAAGAAACTTTCGTCAACTTGCCTTGCCCCTGATTTCATATTCTACACGTGACGAGGTCGGTGTTTCATAAGACATAGTTCTAGGCTATTTTGTCCGTCTTTGTGGTTCCATCTCCCAGGTCATCAATCCTTACGACCCTCGAAGCATGGATACACTACACCGATTCCTTGGTATGTACGAAGAACAGGCTGAACGGTTGGACGCCACCTTAATGGACACAAGTGAAGAGATGGATCAAGTGCAAGCACGAATTGAAGCAATTGAGAAGGAAATTCATGAAATCGAGCTCAAACAGGACGAACACTTGGCGCGGTTAGTTTTGGTCACATTCTGATTCATATAAACCATGTACTTCTGAAGTTAATGCAACTATACTCCGAGATACATACATGCAAATTGATGGACGACAACGTTCGGTGAAGAATCCAGACGAGGTTTTTCAACTTGTTATGCAGAATGTCGTTTAAACTATTTCGGTCAGATTTAATTTCGGTCGAATTTGATCAGTTTCGGTAGGTTAAAGGGTGAGACCTGTCATTGATTTTTTTTGTAGATTTAACGCACTTTTCTAGTTTGCCAGTTGAGGGTTTATCTAAATTGGGTAAGTGTCCTAGCTGAGACGCGAAAACAACTGTGCCCAGTGCGAATTTTAGGATGAGCTCGAATCTCATTAAAATCTTCCGGGTTTTATTCCAGTTATCCTCGTGAGGCATTTCGAACTGCCTATTGTATTTCGTCGTTTGAAATGGAGCTTTTTGAAAGTTTATTGAATGGCGGAACCTTCTTTATTTACGTTGGTGAAGAACTAGTGGAAGAAGTCGCTGTCCTGTAGTTTCTGGTTTGTTTTGAATCATGGTGGAACCAGCATAAATGAGCGACCTGGGCTCTCATCAAGGCTGACTGGTGGTCATATGAAGAAATACGATGGATTTGATGGACGATACCACGACCACAGAGATGTCATTTCCGCTCAATGTTTTGCTCGTCTATTCTGAACAACGTGAAATGGGCCACATGATCCCGTTGCGACAACATAATTTAAAACGGGGATTTCCGGTGTGGCGGTGGGTGATGAAGAGAAGACTGGAAAAAACGAAGGCGTTTGTATGACAGCGAAACCTTTTCTTTCACCTTTTGGGGCCACGCATTCAAAACTACTTGGGACATTCATCCCACAAGAGCAAAAAGTGTTTCAATGAGACTGGCGCTACTAACGGAACTTTATGAAAGCTGGAACATGCGAAATGAGAATGCAGATTTCTTTTTACATACTTTATTGCTGTTAAGCAATGTACCTTTTACAGTGATTTGCAACTCAAGTTGGTGTTACCTAAGGACTCAAATGAATTCCAGCTGAATCTGTCGGTTGTGGTATTCTTTGACGTCGTTGTCGGCGGACTAGTAGGCGTTTAGCCTGTCAAGACGGAAACTGTTGAACTGTTTCAAGGCCTTCTTGGGATGGGTGAGCCAGAGTGTCCAAATGCAGGCTCACACTGTCACCTGATGGGCTGCTCTGGGAGGCGGCATTGGGTTTAGTAAAAAAAATGCATTTTTTTACAATTTCATTTTTGTTCAAGGTCGTTTGTTCGACGATGACATCATAACTTGGGTTGATCTATCCCGGAATTGAAAATGAACTCATCGGAATAATTGTGTCAGGAAGAGCACCGTCCAAACGAAAGTAATATGAACGTGAATCCAGCAATCACCCACAACTAACGAGTAGTACTGAGTAGAGTAGCACTGTGTCTGGAAATAAAATTTCACTTGACCTCTCCTGATCTGCTTCTCACAGAACCAATCGACAACGGGTCACGTGGTTTGCAAATACGCTGTAGAGTGATGAGTGCAATATGTCGGTTACCCGTAGTTATGAAATAGGGTTCTGAACGGGTGTGGCTTCGATTGGTTGGAGGCGCACTGCCGCTAACTTCCGACAACAATGTGACAACTGTGCGACGCCTTTCGGCATAGACGCACTCCTATTCGGAGAGTAGAATCCATAGTTGTAACAGAATAAGCAGATATTCGATGGCGAATTATGTCCAAAATAACCTTTTGTATTCTTTCACGGTAAGTGTGGGAGAATATAATCGGGATCTCCGGTGGATTTGGGAAGTGCGAAGATTAGGTCCGTTGGCATACTTAGGAAGGAAGTTCATAGTAAATACTCTCGGCAGGATAATAACAACTGCTTTAACCCGGTTTTGTTTTTTCTGCTGGTCCTGTGAATTCGGTTACTTAGGTGAATTGGAATTTCTGGTGTGTATGCGGGAGTATGAAGGCTTTGGATAAGAAAATCGATATGAGTTTGCTCCGGTTTTTAGACGACTTCAATCTCATCCTTTGGAACAAGGTTGGCCTTCCCTGTGCACATCTCTCCGTTCGTCCGTTTATTCGTCGCTTCCTCTCTCACACTACAATCAGACTCCGGTTGATTGTTCTCTCCCCCGTGAGCATTTTAGCTTCTTCGATGACTAGCGAAGAAAAACGGAAAAATTGCTTGTAGGTCGGATGATTTGCCAAAATGGAGAAAAATTGGCCGTGTAATATGGTTAAAGTGAGCTGAAATTGGTACAGAGATGTAAGTGACAATGATTAATAGGCTAGCTGATTCGGCAGACGCTAGTTTACCTCCCCTCTCCTCTGCCATGATAGTGGCGTTTTTTTCTGGTGTACTCTGTGGGTAAAATTCTCATTCTACAGTAAGGAACTGGATAAGTCGCACGTATTAAGTTCACTTAGTAACCGAATGTAGTGGCATGTGAGCAGACCGTCCCCAAGAGACGATAATTCTTTCCCTCGAAGTCTGCACATGACCAAAATGAGCGGAAATTTTTCCAATTTACTATGCTATCTTGGGTGGATTGGTACCTGGAGAAAGTCTCAACAATGCTATCTCCGCTTTTTAAACGAAACTGCGGGAATTTTCGTTTCGTTCGGGCGGTGCGCAACAAACTCTGTGGGCTTTGAATCAATAGGAAGATGTTTGGAATCGATTAAGTAGTTATCGTTTAAGAGAGGTTTGGTAAACAATCGGTGGACTTATTGCTGGGCGACACTTCGCCTTTGACACAAAGGCTTCGTCAGGCCAAGTGAGTAAGTAAGCAGGTTGATCAGGTTTTTAGGTAGTCGGTGAACCAATCCGTGAGATTTCTAATGACTAGCCGACATGATCAGTTCTGGGTGTCGGTCTGAAGTCCTTGTTTGTTAGTTAGTGGGGAGGAATAACATTTACGATAGATTGGTTAGGGGGGGATTGTCTGCGTGATGAAACCGGATTTTCAGCCCTGCTTTCAGTCTAGGACACCTTAATGGAGAATCCTTTTAAGGGTCGTTCACAGATTTTGTTCGCCTGTGTTCGTCGAAGGGAGTTAATTGGATCTTACTCTGCTAGGATTTTGTACTTTTATACCCACACCATTCTGCAGATCACAGCACATCGCCTCGTGTCATCTCGGCAGATCTAAAACCGCTCTCCACACGCTTGCCGGTTCTAAGCCCTCTACTCTACTCACCGTGCGGGTCTACTACAGTGGACTGTGTTAGTGCTAGCTCAAGAACGGCTAAGGTTTAGGTATATATTGCCTATCGATGAATGTTTCTTCTGCATAGTCATCAGTTATATTATGGACCCTGTTTATTACCACGCTTTTCACTTGGAATTTAATCCGTCACCATTGAGAAACTGAAAACTCGACCGAACGAGTTCTTCATAAAGGAAACTACTCACAAGGTTGCTGAAAACTCTTCGACAGCCCACAACCGGTTTCGCCCTTCTTGGGGCTCATCCCCTAGAAGTCTGCACATGACCAAAATGAGCGGAAATTTTTCCAATTTACTATGCTATCTTGGGTGGATTGGTACCTGGAGAAAGTCTCAACAATGCTATCTCCGCTTTTTAAACGAAACTGCGGGAATTTTCGTTTCGTTCGGGCGGTGCGCAACAAACTCTGTGGGCTTTGAATCAATAGGAAGATGTTTGGAATCGATTAAGTAGTTATCGTTTAAGAGAGGTTTGGTAAACAATCGGTGGACTTATTGCTGGGCGACACTTCGCCTTTGACACAAAGGCTTCGTCAGGCCAAGTGAGTAAGTAAGCAGGTTGATCAGGTTTTTAGGTAGTCGGTGAACCAATCCGTGAGATTTCTAATGACTAGCCGACATGATCAGTTCTGGGTGTCGGTCTGAAGTCCTTGTTTGTTAGTTAGTGGGGAGGAATAACATTTACGATAGATTGGTTAGGGGGGGATTGTCTGCGTGATGAAACCGGATTTTCAGCCCTGCTTTCAGTCTAGGACACCTTAATGGAGAATCCTTTTAAGGGTCGTTCACAGATTTTGTTCGCCTGTGTTCGTCGAAGGGAGTTAATTGGATCTTACTCTGCTAGGATTTTGTACTTTTATACCCACACCATTCTGCAGATCACAGCACATCGCCTCGTGTCATCTCGGCAGATCTAAAACCGCTCTCCACACGCTTGCCGGTTCTAAGCCCTCTACTCTACTCACCGTGCGGGTCTACTACAGTGGACTGTGTTAGTGCTAGCTCAAGAACGGCTAAGGTTTAGGTATATATTGCCTATCGATGAATGTTTCTTCTGCATAGTCATCAGTTATATTATGGACCCTGTTTATTACCACGCTTTTCACTTGGAATTTAATCCGTCACCATTGAGAAACTGAAAACTCGACCGAACGAGTTCTTCATAAAGGAAACTACTCACAAGGTTGCTGAAAACTCTTCGACAGCCCACAACCGGTTTCGCCCTTCTTGGGGCTCATCAGGTAGGCGCAGTCCCCGAGTTTCCGTCAATCTTATGATCTACTTGAAACCAAATCGCACTGTTTTCGAGAAGTACACTCATTTGCAAATCAGTTTGGTTTTCACGGGCGACTCAGTTGAATCTCTCGTTTATGATTTCCTCCAGCTGAATGTGCTGCACACAGGCCGCCTCATGATACTGCGATATCTCGAATATCGTGCTAACTGAATCATGAGGCGGCCTGTGTGCAACACATTCAGCTGGAGGACATCATAAACAAGAGATTCAATTGAGTCTCCCCTGAAAACCAAATTGATTTGCAAATGAGTGTATTTCTCGAGTTCTTACTTCGTTTTTGGGACCGATCAATCATTGGATGTAAGGGGGTCGAACATGTGACTGCCCGGTTATCTGTCTCATGCTGTTGGTCGCTAGTTGAATTCCGACTTATTTCCAAAACCGTGGCCTGATAATTGTCAGGTCCTCCGAGAAGAGGATTTGTACTATTCTGACTATGTATCGGCAACTGGATAGTCGGAATCTGGAA